AGAGCGCTCGAACAGGGGGTCCAACTCATCCTTCCATATAGGCGGAGCCCAGGCAATATTGTTCAGCCCATATGTAGCCGTGTATAGAATGATGTTCTGAACATCATCAGTCGGTTACGGGGGTGTCGCCAGCTGAAGCCATGAAGCCATAAGCGCGGAAAGAGGCGATACCCAGCGACAATGCTGCAACCAGGGATTCCATATGTCTAGCGAGGTTGATTCCTGGTACTCTGTGAGAGAGTGGGAACCCCAGGTATTTGATGTGTTTCGGTTCGGCATGTGTGGGCGCCAGTTTCAGGGGAAGGTAACGTGTGTTCCAAGGTGCGTCTGCAAGCGTCGGCGTGATAAGCTCACCATTTATACGGAGGGTTGGCGCCGCGTGTCGCAAGTTGGTAGATTGTACTCGGGGTTTAATGACACCCTGTTCGAGGCCAGATTTGCGTCCCCACGCATCAATGTCATCTAAAAAGGGCTGGAGCGAAACCGATCGAGGGGCTTGGATCCGTGTGTCATCGACAAATAAATAAGAACGGAGGAGCTTGGGCCGAAATTGTGCTAGCGTGACAGCTAAGGAATCTATGTAGATAATAAAGAGCTGGGGGCCGACAATTGAGCCTTGTAGGATGCCATTCGTTCTGAGGAATAGAGACGAGAGCGTGCCGCGGTATGTCACTCGGGTAGGGACCCTCTCAAACAGCGCGCGGAGGCAGTTGATCCAGTTTTCAGGCATTACAGCGTGACGCAGAAGTACCCATAGGCGTGGGAGAACGACCTTGTCATATGCCTTGGTTATGTCCAGACAGACGTCATTCCACTCCTCTTCTGACTGTGTCTCAGATTCCATGGCGGCAAGTGCTTGGGTATGACAGGAGTACCGTGATTTGAAGCCAGCTTGGGTAGCATGGGTAGCAGAGCCGGGGGTGGCTCGTAATCAGATTAAGAAAGCACTTTTCAAAGATGCGTCTGACTATTTGCGTAAGCGTGATGGGGCGGAAGTCGGCGGGGGAGGTGATATCTGCATCGGCTTTCTTTGGATGCGCTGTTAGGAGGCTACAATTCAGGGCTGCGGGGAAGGTACCCGCCTTCAGTAGCTCAGTGAATGCTTCGGCAAGGAGTCTAACCAGTGGGCTATTGGCGTCGGGGCGTCCCAATGTCCGGCGTTCGGTAGAGCGCTCCACTGCGGCCTAGATTAAATCAAGAAAGTACATACCGGTGGCCACTCATTAGACAAATTAATCCCGCTCGGGTATTCCTTTTTTTTTTTGTAGAATTATTATGCACCTTTATACATGATCTAGAATCGGCCCCACCAGGGTAAAAAAAATGAGGGGTATTTTTTTGCTGGTTTTAGTGGGCTATAAATTATCTCTTTGTTGGCACTTGTCATTCTCTCCTTGTAAACAGTGTCGGATGGCTACTATGTGAGAGCTCATCGTCTGAATGCGAAGAAAACCACATTGGAGAGACGCATATTGTTAGAGTGTAGAATAGCAAACTTTAAATGAAGTGCAAATGTACGTCATATATTTCTGACCCCACCTTTGGGTTTATACTTAAGTTGTCTATGCTAGCGCTTACCAACTCGGGTTGATTGTTGCGTTTAATCGTGGTAAGAAACCTAAATCAACTCTAAGGGTGAGCTAAGAACTAAAAATTAACTCCCGGGAGGGAAACAACTCTATTGATCTCAAACAATTTGCTTGCTGTGAAAGATGGTCTGAGACCTGTAGTTTCTCACATCTCCCGTCAGACAGACTGGTTGCGATAAAGAGTCCAATACACAGTGGTCTCAGTTCTTCGATTTCCATTCTTATTCCATTCAACCTCTTAATATGTCAGAAGCACCATTGAATGCGCTCTTGATTCGTCCAGACCTGCTACGCGAAGAGATGCCAGTAATACTAACAGCGCGAAGGCAAATTTAAGATACGCGATGTGACTTAAAAGTTCTGCATTAATTGCTATGCATACTGAGTAAT